CATCCATCCATCCATCCATCCATCCATCCATCCATCCATCCATCCATGCATCCATCATCTCTACCCGCTTCTTCCTTTTCGAGTCGTGGCAGCTCGATACCTTCACATTTTATTATTCCCATGTATCATCTGACTAAACTGACTGCACAAGCTAAAGAAAACCTCATCTCACCTTTCTCGTCCACTCAGCCAGAGAAGGCGAGGTCATGTTTGGAGTATGACATCAACCCCACCCCCACCCCCCGAACTCCCCATCCCTGGTAATTTTGCTATCTGCTTGCTGTTACACAATGTTTCTTTAAGAGGAGGCAGATTTTCTCTCTCTCTCCCTTCACTATTGAACTAAAAAAAAAAAAAAGAAAGAAAGAAGGAAAAAAAAAAAGAGTACATTTAGCCGGTGCCAAAGATGAGGTCATTGAGCCGTCTGTGCCAGCTTTACCAGTCAGGCCGCCAGTCAAACACACACTCACAAATACACACACACACCCACACACACACACACACACACACACACACACACACACACACACACACACACACACACACACACACACACACACACACACACACACACACACACACAGTGAGCAGGACAGGACATGAGCATTTCAGCTCTGTTTACTACATACAAACACCATGACGCTGGGGCCGATGATTACATCATGGCTCTCCTTGGCCTGGATGACACATCGCTTTGATATTTCTGTCTAGAGGGATCAGTGAATGAAGACATAAAACTGTACAAGAAACACAGACCCACTTTATAATTGTTTACTTTTCCATTCGAACAGAGTGCGGCGTTACTGTACAACAGAGGTATGTTAATGCACCTCCTGTGGTTTTAAAGAAGCAGGTCCTTTTTCACACTCAAGAAATGCAAAACACCTGATGACACTAAAATTATCATTACAAACTGTACTGTAGGACTGGAAAATACATTTAACTGCATTACGTAAGAGTCTGAAATCACTTGTAAGAGCACAGATTCAAAAAACACAGAAAATTAGGTATTTTTTGTTTGTACACGTACCTAACTCTCTCTTGGATCAGAATTAGGTCAGTGGTCTGAGATTAAGAACTGAACTGTGGTAATTAAAACTGGAGAACTTGCTTTTCCTGGAAATGCAGAGTGAATGCTTATTGCTGAAGAACTTGTTGAAAAACAGCTGAAATTAGCAAAAAAAAATAAAATACTGAAATGTAGCTGAAATGGAAGAACAAGCCTAAATTAGCAGAAGAAAGCAGAAAGAACATTTTCTGAATTAGGTTTAAAGAAGCAGAAATGAGCACAAAAATGACGAAAATTAGCTAAAAAAGCTGAAATGTGCAAAAATAGCTGAAAGTAGCTGAAAAGGCAGACAGAAGCTTAAACTACCTAAAGGAAGCGGAAAGAGCTGAAAGGAGCTCCCAAAACATGGAATTAGCTAAAAAAGTTAAAATTAGCATAATACAGCTAAATAGTAGCTGAAATACCAGAAAAAGTTGAAAGTAGCTGAAAAAAGCTGAAGGGAGCATAACAAGCTGAAATAAGCAGAAATAAATTAATTAGACTGAAAGTAGCAGAAATTACCACAAAAAATGTGAATTTAGCTGAAAACAGCTGAAATTAGCTAAAAATGCTAACAAGGTACACTAGGTAAAAAAGTAGAACAAACATTAGCAAAAAAAAGCAGAAAGAACACATATTTGCTGATATAAGCAGAAAAAAGGGATCACAAAGTAGCTGAAAGAGCAGTTGAAAATAGCCAAAGATAGCTGAAAAAAAGTTTAAATTTGCACAAGGAGACTGAAAGAAGCCAAAGCAGAACAAACTGTGAAAAGAGCAGTTAAAGGTTGTAAACAGATCTAATGATTTGAAGGATGTAAAATGAGCTCCATTAATTTACTTTGAGAAATAAAATGGCAGAAAAGGCTAAATATTTCAAAAAGCTAAAGTTGCACCAATACCAAAAGTCAAAGCAGGATTGTTCTGAACGAGTTGAACATTTTGATATATGATTTGTTGAAATAGCTTGAAAACTGTGGGACGAGAAAGATGATGAAAAATGTACAGAAGAAAAATGGATCACAATAGTGTGAATGCTTCATAAACATTCACACTATAAGGGATGGGAGAACGGACTTGTGAGGAGATGTTCAGATCTGAACCTGCAAACTGATCAGTTCTCTAATAACACTTTCACTTGTCGTTTGATTCAGGCTCTGAAAGCAGTCCGTCATGTTAGCAAAATATCTCTTTGACCAACTAGAATAATTCTAATATAACATTTAGAAAGTGATCTTTACATACACATTTTAAACTGAATGATTTTTGAATTTAACTCACTTCAAGATGGCCAACACAGACAAATTACCTTAGAAAACCCCCAAATGGCTCTAACTCAGTCAGGATACTCATGTAATATTTGTTGTGGTAGTAGATGAGAATAATCCCCAACACATTTTTTATTAATTAACCTTTATTTAACCAGGCAAATCCCATTGAGATCACAGATCTCTTTTGCAAGGGAGGCCTGGACCTGAAGGCAGAATGCACGTTGAATGCATGTTTTTGATCTGTGGGAGGAAACCGGAGTACCCGGCGAAAACCCACGCAAGCACGAGAAAAACATGCAAACCACACAGAAAGACCCGAGGTCCAACCAGGGATTGAACCCAGGACCTTCTTGCTGTGAAGCAACAGCGCTAACCACTGATCCATTGTGCTGCCACATACTCTGAATGCTGCACTCACTGTGAGAATGTTGCTTAAATCTTTTTTGTGTTTTAACTGTTGGTGTCAATCCTGTGTCCATTAGCAAAATATCTCAAGAACCACTGGATAGATATGAATAACATTCTCAGAAAGTAATAATTGATTGTACAACTATAACTGTTTAATGCTTGGAGTCAGTCCATTCCAGGACGGCTGCCACAGCTAATCTACATTAGTCAACACAAAGATGGCTCCATCGACACATACTGAGCTCAAATTTGGTGCTAGTGAACTGTAAAGTTACTAGGACAATTTATTTATTTGTTTGTTACAGCCTTCTCGTCTAACCGATTTAAAGTCATTAAAAGTTGTATTTTAAGAGAGGGTTAGTTTCCTGAAATATTTCGATGTAACCAAGAGCTTTGGATAAAAACACTGAACGGTGTGGTTGGTACCTTGGGTGAAGAGGAGGAGGGGGTGTGTACGGGTGCAGGGACACCCATCACACAAGACATCTGCTTTTCTCTCTGAAAAGAAAGAATAGCAACTCAAAAATACTTTTAGTTGTGATCCAAAATGGAAAATAAAGTCAGCATGGAGGAGGAATATTTTAGTTTTTCACAATCATGGCTTCTTTGCCCATGAATCATACAGTCTTCATGGTGAAATGTGTGTGGACAGACCCCCCCCCCCATACTTACAGTCATGTGCTGAGCAGATGCCCCTTGCATGGCGGGGTCTGGCAGGGAGCCAGGTAAGGAGGCGGGCAGAGGTTGGCTGTGTCTGCTTCGCATGTGGAGGTGGCAGGACAGCGTACCGGGAACCGGCCTGAGTTTGTTCACATAGACAGGAAACAGGTGAACACAAGGAGCCGAACACAGCTAAAGTTTCACCGAGCCTGCTCAAAGACGAGCTAAAACATTTATAGCCAAGTCCTGCACATGACAGTGACACAAAGGTTCCCCAGGGACACATGAATTAAAAACAGAAAATAAAATGGTAGTTTAAAAATCATTCTGACCATTTTTGCCTCTAATTTCTGTAGTCCATTATCAAAAAACAAGAAATTAAAGCTCAGTTTCTACGTTTATAATAATGCTTTGTATGCTCTCATGTACTTTGTGCAGTTTTAACTATTCAAATATCAAAACAGTGGGCTCAACAAGGAAGTGCGCACTGACATTCAATATTTGTAACTTTTTGAATTATTTAAACGTACAGTATTTACAAAATGATCCCTCTTTCAGTCCCTTTAGTTAAACGTGCTTTGAGTCTGCTTCACATACTCGCTCTATTATTACTCATTTTTACGTATTATTTAGTTTATTTTAGATTTAACATGTTTTGTTCACTTTTGCTTATAGCTACTGTTGCGCTAACTTTAGCTACAATTTTCCAAAATTTAACATTTAGCTACTATTATGGCAGTTTTAGCAATGTTTTTTGCTCATTTGGCTTGTTTTAACTTAAAAAATTCAGTTTCCACTTTAAGTACTGCAAAGTTTACTGGAACAAGTTAAAATAACCAAATAGAATAAATGTGACACTTCATTGTTTAGTGTGTAACTATACTGTATAGTAATAATTTATAGCTTTAAATGTTACTTTAGATATTTTTAAATATCTAATTTACCCTCCTCAAGGAAAACATCTTTAATAAATACGCCTATGATGTGGAACAACTCAACATGTATGTGTCAGGTTTAGATAATTCAACGAGACTGTGTTAGTTCATACAACTGAAAATGTTTTTAAAACCTGGTTAATTTTAATAAGATAATTATAAATCATAATGTAATTTTATAATGGTAAGGGTCTGCAATAAAATGAAGAAAATCATAAATAACTGACCAAACTGGCCTGCCTGCAGTCGAGATGTTGAAAATATTACGCTAAAATTTAGTAAAAATGAGAAAAAGGACAAAGGAAGTCCTAATCTGCATAAAAAAATACATTTTGCTTCAAAGAGCTAGTGGGGGAAAATCCTGCTTTCCACAGTTGAGCAGTGAATTCGAATAGTGCAGGTATAGAGGTTAAATTAAGGCACATTTTACAGCCAATCTGCATTAAATATTTTACACAAAGTTCTACTCCTTTTGGAAACAGCTGCATTAATTATGCTACTGATGCAACACTTTTTGTATTGATAACAGCAGGGTCACTTTAGAGCTGTTGTCCCTCAGTTTGAGGAAGAGGTTCCTTTATGATGTCAATGGATTAAACTGAAGCAGCTGAGATTAATAACAGGTCAAATAAACCAAGGGAGAAAAAAAAAAGGCAAATACACAAATTTACAGTAACCTAAATAATATACATTTATGTATTTTTGTGACTTTGTAACTAAAAAACACATGATAACGAATCTATTTAGTCAATACAAGTGATATATCAGTCAATCAGAAACTCACATTTGCAGTGTTTCAATGGAGTGAGAAAACTAGATATTTATTCTTTGTTTTTTGTTATTTCTATAGATCCATAAAGTAAATAGCTAAAAAAAAATCTGATTTTCACTGTATATGGATAAAAAGAGGGTTGAGATGAAGCAACCACAGTATAAGGGAGGATAAGATTTTTTTTTAAAAGAATTAATAGAAAACAGGAATGTTGAACAAACATGACAGCTTGAGAGGAGGAGGAACGAAGCTCAGGGATCTCAGCAGGGAGGGGTGTGGGGGTGCAGAGACCCCGGGTTTCCATGTGCTGCTGCTGACCTAACCGCCTCTGGCTCTCAGCCAGTCGGACAGCGTGGGTCTCCGCTGTCGCTCTTAGGTCATCAGCAATGATGTCATCACCAAATAAGGGACTTTGTGTCTCGTTTGCCACATGCAGCAAAGAAGAGAATAACCATAACAGCATTTACTAAACCAAAACAGCTCCAACAGGCCAAGAGCCAGACACTCAGGAAACCGAGTCGCTATGGTAACAGGCTGTAAACACCTCTGGAAACAGTCAGACACCCGGTCCACGGTTCATTCAGGAAGATTTAACGGGTCTCACTGACTAACACAACGTCTGGACTGAGTTGGTGTTGATTTGTTGTCCCATAACTAACTGTCAGCTCTTTCCTTGCCGTCCTGCCGCAGCCTGCCTGGGCCGGGACTCATTTATGAGCTTATTATGTCACCGACTTACTTCCAACACCCTGACTCATCCAACCATCAGCAGAGATGAGACAAACACTTTGTGCGTGTGTGTTAAAGCCAGATATTAAAAATACCGATAACTAACTGAGGATTTCATTATTTCTAAAACTGGCATTTTAAAAACTTCCTTTCTAGTTTTTAAATGTTAACATTTTTATTGCCAAATGGGTTTTATGAGATGATCACAGATTCATATTATGTCTGCAGGTCTTTTCAATGCAGGTGAACTATGAAATAAAATAAAAACAACATTGTCAGTAATACAATGTGATTCTACTTTAGGACTATAAACAGAAAAAAAGTAACGTTTAAAAGTTGTCATAAGTTTTTCACCTTTTAGGACATTTTAGGAAACAGTATCCAAATAAGAATGATAGTATTTAAATACAAAGACTTATCATGCATTCATCATCTGTGGTGGGGTCACAGAGGAAACAGTGACCCGACCAGGAGAGAAACCCAAACATCCCTCTCCACTGAGACTCCAGCTCCTCTTGGGGAATCCCAAGGTGTTCTCAGGTCAGAGATTAAATATAATCCCTCCACAGAGTTCTTGGCTGCCCTGGGGTCTTCTCCCACCTCAGCAAAATAAGGAACAGCTTGTATTTAGAGATACTAATTAATGATGCTAAGTAGTTTATTACATTTTTAAGATGCCAAGTTGTGATTTTGAGACATCAGCACATCTTTTTATTTTATAATCCTTGATTTTTCAAGATAAACAGTAGTCCTACTTTAATTTTCAGCCAAATTTAGTATTTGATATGTCTATCTTCAGAGGCACGTATTCAGCATTATAAACTCTGGTGGCACCAAAATCTAACAGCTTCATTGTTGTGTTGTAAGAAATAAAAATAAAAGCGATTGTATCTAAACACTCCAAAATAAAACTAGACTTCTACTGAAATAGTAAACTGATTTATCTGGAAATAGTACTTAAAATACATCAGCAGCATCCACTAAATGCTGTTATTCCATCTGTTAAATTGAGAACAAGGTGAGTTTCTAAAATAGAGTTAAAAAGGTGAAAATAGAAAGCCTTAAAATAGTGGCGTTTTTATTTGAAGCCAACAACTATTAAAAAAAGGTAGTCATATGAAAACATTACAAATCTGTTTTTAAAACTTGGAATATAAAGTGTATATATTTTAAGAATGTTGCATTTATCCATCCATCCATCAACTATATTTGCCACTTGTTATGGAGTCAGGTCATAGATACAGCAGGGAGGCCCTGACATCTTTTTCTACATCCATCTCATTTGGGAGGATTCTGAGGTGTTTCTAGTCCAGCTGAGAGACATGCTTTTTTCACTGTGTCCTGGCTATTCTTCTTTCTAGACATGCTAAACATGTCTAGAAAAGCTCCTTAGGGAAGCATCCAGGAGTCATTCTAAACAGATGCCCGTACCACCTCAACTGACTTCTCTTGATGTGGAGAAGCAGTGGTTTTACTTTGAGCTTCTCCTGATGACTGAAACTCTCACCTCATCTTTAAAGGAGAGCCCAACTAACATGCAGAGAAAAACAGTTTTGTCCGCCTGTATCTGCAGTCTTGTTCTTTTGGTCACCACCCAGATTTTGTGATCATGGGTGAGGGTAGGAACATAGACTGACTGATAAAGAGCTTCACCTTGCAGCTCTGATCCCTCTTCACCACAACAGAGCTGCAGAGAATGTGCAATGCTGCACTGATTCCTCACAGTCTCAAGCTCCATTCTTCCCTCACACTTGAACAAACCCCACAAATACTTGAACTCCTCCACTCGAGGCAGCACCTCACTCCCAACCTGGGGAGGGCAGTCCACCCTTTTCAGAATGAGGACCATGGCCTCAGATTTGTAAACGCTCTTCCTCATCCTCGTTGCGTCACACTCGACTGCTAACCGCTCTAGTGAAAACTGCAGGTCACGGCACAATGACGCCAACAGGGTCACATCATTCACAAGTGGCAGAGACAAAATCCTGAGGTCACTCTTTCACCCCCTATCTGCACTGAGAAATTCTGGCCATTTAAGTTATGAACAGAATCGTGACAACGGGCAGCCCTGGGGGAGTCCGACTTTCACCCTAAAGCCCTAATGAAACCAATACGACCTACACTCTCACGTTTGTATAGAGACAGAATTAGCTGTAGCAAATAGACCACTAATCCAATATTTGCAAGAGCACCCCCCCACCCCAACCACCACCACCATCTCCACTTCATATCCTGAGGCGAATGCCTTCTCCAAGTCCACAAAACACATGGACAAACTCCCATGCCCACTAGAGAACCTCAACAAGGGTCAAAAGCTGGTCCAGTGTTCCACGGCCAGGGTGGAACCAGCACTGTGCCTCCTGAATCTGAGGTTCCACCATCGACCACATGACGCTCTTCTTCAGCACCCCTAAATAGATCTTATGGGGGAGGCTGAGGAATATGATTCCCCTGTACATGTAGTTGGAACACACCCTCCAGTCCCTCTTCTTGAAAAGGGGACCCATGACCATCCCAATCTGCAAATCCAGTAGCACCGGCCCTCGGGGCATCCACCTCGACAATGTAAGCACGGATCGTGGCTCACTCTGACTCAACGTCCTCTGTCTGGTCCCTCTGTCTGTGATGTGGTTGAAATCATGTTAGAGGTGAGAGTTAAAGATCCTTCTGATGAGTTATTCTGCCAGGAGTTTTCAGCAAACTGTCACTTCATGTTTGTGTCCAAGTTCTGGCATACGTTTATATATATATATATATATATATATATATATATATATATATATATATATATATATATGTGTGTGTGTGTGTAAGTTTGCATTTCCTCTAAGTTTTACAAATCTACCTCTGTACTGTCAGGAAGAGTGGGAACAGCCGCTGGGGAGCTGCTCCGATGAAAGACAGGAACTTCTCTAATCTGTCAGTCCAACTGGGTGATAACCAGGGAGCCATGGAAGCTGCCCAAGTGCTGAGAGAGTGCAGCTCCAGAGTTTTTACAGACATAACAGAGGCAGGGCGGGGGAGTCAGAGGAACTGAGTAGGTGTAAAGCAGCAGTTCTCCATCTGTATTTGCTCCTTCAGTAAATTTAAGTTTGATCTTTTACCGTTTTTCTCTCACTTCATTAATGAAGTGATGAATTATGCAGCTGGAGGTCATATTATCATATTTGGGGACTGCCATGCAAATGCATGGCAGGCATCTATTATTCTACACCTTGGAAGTGAGTCTACATTTCTATCTCCATTAATGTGGCCCAAACCACAATGTCTACCCCCACAAATGTTATATCAAAACGACTGGCTCGGCCCCGTGATGTGTGCTATTACTTTTATTGGCATTTCGTGTTACCATGGTGAAGTAATTTGCGAACAAAGACGCAATATTTCACCAACTCCAGGAACTAGTTGGTGACTGCCCACTTATTATTCTACACTTGAAAAGAGTATCTTTTTCAACTTTAATGTGGCCAAAACCGCAAAGTGGACCCCCAAAAAAGTTATATCCAAAGGACTGACCCGGCTCTGAGATGTGTGCTATTACTTTTATTGGCAATTGGCATTACCATGGCAACATATTTTGCTAACGAAAATGACAAATTTCCCATAGGAAATGAATAGGAGAAAACTTTTCAAAAAAACTGAGTAACGTTGGGAGCCATTTCGGTTCAACATGCATCGAAGGCACCTATTATCACCTATTATTATATTATTATTATTAATTAGTAAAAATAATTAACATAAATTATTAATTATTTGTTTTAATAATTACAAATAATAACATTAACAATTACGAATATTACTACTTGAGATTTACTATTAATTATTAATATAATTATCAAATATATTAATCGTTTTTAATAATTCATAGATTGGCAATATATACATAATTAATTATTAATATTTATATTTATTATTAATAATAAATAGGCAGTCCCCGTCTTAGTTTCTCCAGGAACTTTCTAGTATGGTATTATTGTTTAGCATATAGCTTAGATCCAGCTGAGTGAAGCTGACACCCCACCCACTTCCAAAATTAAAGCAACT